CCCCAGGTTGCCCAGGTGGGTCTCGACCCCACGGGCTCAGGCAATCCACTCACCTCAGCCTCCCAAGGCACGGGATTACAGGCTGAGCCACCAAGCCCGGCTGGACCAGATAATTATTTGCTGTAGAAGGCTATAATGTGGCCAGGCATGGTGACTCAGCCTGTAATCCCAGCGCTGTGGGAGGCTGAGGCAAGAGGACTGCCTGAGCCCAGGGGTTCGAGACCAGCCTGGGCAACTTGATGAGACCTCATCTCTACAATAAATCACAAAAAACTAGTTGGGCCTGGTGACGTGTGCCTGTAGTTCCAGCCACTTGAAAGGGTGAGGTGGAAGAATCATCTAAGCCCAGTAGGTTAAGGCCGAGGTGGCCCTGAGCATGCCACTGTTCTCCAGCATGGGGGACAAGAGTGAGACTCCAACTCCAAAAAAAAAAGAAAAAGAAAAGAAAAGAAAAAAAGAAGGCTATTATATGCGCTGTAGTACATTTAGTAGAATCCTTGGCCCCTACCCATCAAACAGCAGTACCACCGTCTACAGTTGTTAACAATTAAAATTGTCTCCAGACCTTGACAAATGTCCCCTTACCCTGGGAGGTTGTGATATTGAAAAAGATATATTTGGTCTTCTTTCCAGTTTCCTGGCAAAAACAAAAAACAAAACAAAAACAAATTGAAAATCCTCTGAAACCCTTGGAATCTCCTCTGGTGGGATAAAAGTGTCTTTTGTATGCTGCCAAGAGACTGGTGGTTGTAGGCCCCTAGAGAGCTTCAGTGTACCAAGGGGTGATATAAAAGAGTTGGGACTTCCAGCTCCACCCTTCAGTCCTTTAAGGAGGGGAAAGTGGCTGAAAGTTGAGTTGATTCCTACAGGCAATGATTTAATCAGTTATGCTGAGAAAAGAAAAATAGCTCAGAGCAGTCCGAGATGTGTGAGATTGTAAAGTTTATCAGGCCTAGAAAGACTAGTAAGTGACTTCAGTTCTTGTCCTGTTCCCCATCCCCCCAACCTACACCCATGCCTGGGGGCGACTGTTTGTTTTTGGTTTCGGTTTTTTTTTGTTTTGTTTTTTTAAGTTGGAGTCTCACACTGTCACCTAGACTGGAGTGCAGTGGCCGCTCCCGGCGACTGCAGCCTCGACCTGCTGGGCTCCGGCGATCCTTCCTCCTCAGCCTTCTGAGTAGCCGGAATTACAAGCACGCGCTACCATGCCCGGCTGATTTTTTGATTTATTGTAGAGATGAGGTATCGCCAAGTTGCCCAGGCGGGTCTCGAACCCGCAGGCTCAGGCAATCCACTCACCTCAGCCTCCCAAAGCTCAGGATTACAGGCTGAGCCACCGAGACCAGTTCTGGTTTCGGTTTTGAGTCAGAGTCTTACTCTGTCACCCAGGCTGGGTCTCAGGCTTTGGAGGTGCCAGGGATTACTTGGTACTGTGAGAGAGAACTTGACTTGTGTACGCACGGTAGCATGTCACTGGCAAAAGCTGCAGTTGTGAAAGTGGATGAAAGTGGTTGCAGTGAATGGTTGTTACTAAAGAAGCATGCTCACCTCAGGCAAGTGTGAACACTTGTTGGCTACCAGAGTACTCACTGAAGTATAAGACTCATAAGGGATGGGCTGATCAGAGAGCAAGCTGATTGTAGATAGTTCCCACACCTGCCTCAGGGGACTGCCTTTGCAGCGAGGAGCACTATGGAAGCCTTTTGTGACCTGGTGCCTCGATATTTCCCTGTTTTGAGGGAGCAAGGATTCAGTGTAAAAGTGAGATCCTTGGTTTTTAGAGGTCTAGATGCACTGTCTTCCAGATGTGACTGCTTTTCACATATTAGGTCCTAGAAACTGCAAATACTTTCTTTTCCCTATTCAGTCGAGGGCTCTACCCCGAAGTCAGCTAATTAAGAAACAAATTAAATTGGAAAGCTGGCTATTTCATTTTTTTTTTTTTTGTAGAGACATAATCTCACTGTCTCCTAGGCTGGAGTACAGCGATGCAATCATAGCTTACTGCAGCCTCAAACTTTGAGGCTCAGGCAATTCTTCTGCCTCAGCCTCTGTAGTAGCTGGGACTATAGGCATGTGCCACCATGCCCAACAAAGTTTTGTATTTTTTTTTTAAAGATGGGGTCTCACTATGTTGCCCAGGCTTGTCTCAAATTCCTGACTTCAAATGTTCCTCCTGCCTTAGTCTCCCAAAGTAACGGGATTACAGGTGTGAGCTCTACATCTGGCCTAAATATCTTATCAGAAAAACAGAAACTAACTCAAATGCCTTTTAGATCACATGATTAGGGTAAATCTTTGGTAAATAAGATTAGTTTGTTGTTTTTTTTTTTTTTGAGTTGGAGTCTCACTCTGTCGCCCAGACTGGAGTGCAGTGGCCGCTCCCGGCAACCGCAGCCTCGACCTGCTGGGCTCCGGCTATCCTTCCGCCTCAGCCTTCCGAGTATCC